GAGATTCTCTTTTTTTAAATTGCTATTTAGGATATTTTGAAGAGACTACCCACTGGTATTGAGCTCTCTCAAATATCAAACCACCCTGCAGCGTCTTGCGTTGTGCATCCAAAATCAGTAGCACTATTCGGTGATATTGTGCTGTTTACATTATGTTATTCTTAGTGCCCACACAATATTCTTAGTGCGCTTGCCAGCGAGTGTTGAAGAGGTGAGAGCACTGCATAAGGCCACTTCTCCCATCTGCAAACACAGCAAGATGCATTATCTTGGGAATTATGTTAGCTCTGGAGTTAACCACAGGATGAAGAGATGCCATCTCCGCAGCGCACCTCATTTTAGCACAGGGTAAACATGCTTCCCCCGCATCAGCCAGTCTCACAGCATTAGTGGTGCGCTGTGATTGATGACCAGCGGTGTTGCTGAGATATGGGTTTGTATCTCAGCTTTTTATCACTGTGACTTGCGAAAGGCAGTTCCTTTATTTACAGATTCTAGCTGTATTAAGTGACATTATTAGGTACTACTTTTGTTTAAGTGACACAAAGGCTTGGCATATTGGTGGTTTATGACATACAGGCGGTTTTAATCTGATGACTTACCCCTCACTTTTTCAGTTTGTAAATAGGAGCTGCAGCACAAGAACATATGGTACTAAAGAAATTAAAGCTAAAGTAAATGGCATTAAAACAAATTCAAATAAAACAATAGGATACTCAATCTGCATTATAAACCTGGATCTGTAGTAAGACTTTTAAAAAACAGGAAATCTTAAATATGAGAGTTAACCTTTCAGGTGTTTTTTTTAAGACCGTTTCAGAGGGCTATTGTGACTAATTTACTTATTAACTCTCCTTACATAAATCTTAAATGAATAAATCAGTAAAGATATTTTTTAGTAATTGAAACTAAAGTCTGAATACCACATACTAAAAATTAGTTTGCCTTTTTAACTTTTGGTTTCATACCACATCGCTTTTGATACAGTAAGAACGTATCATGCCTTCTTGAGTGCGTGTTACAGTAAATACACTTGCTTCTATTAACGGCATCGCTGAGCACAAAACAAAAAAGGGCCCAGCAAAACTGCCAGTGTAACGCTGATATTCCATACCAAATGTCAATAAAAAGCAATTAAAAGAAAAACTATATTTTTCCAACTTTGTAATACTATAGCAGCTTGCTCAAAAAAGGGATTTCAATATACTTTTCATGCACCTAGGAAGATTTCCCTCATTATTCCACAGAGAAGCTCCAACCTCTAGCTCATGAAGCCTCATGTACTGTTCAGGGTCTGAAGTAAAGACGTTTCTTATGTACTTAAATTTTTATTGAAGCACGTGCTTACTTCATACCAATCAATTTGATACGCAGCATTAGTTCCGTCAGCTTGTAATTCAACTTCTAACTCAGTGACTCCACCAAAGACAGTTTTTTGGTACAGCCTTCCACTTAGTGCTCCCTGACAGAAGTATTTTTTTTCCTTATACGACATACATGAGCTCAGTATAGCAGCAAAAGCATTTCCATACCACTATAAAGACTTTCACATAACTGCCACTGCTACACTGCATTTCTACTCAACTGAGTATCTCCTTATTCAACTTATTTTTAATTATTTTTTCATTTTTATTATGGCTTGGAAGTTTGGTTTGTTAGTTTGGGGGGGTCTTTTTGTGGGTGATGGTTTGTTTGTTTTAATCTACAGGTACCTATTTGGTTGTTTGTGGCAATAAAGTATCTCACTGTAATTTCACAGACAGCAAACTCCATTCTCTCTCCCTGGGAGGGGACTTTTTTAAAAGGGCTTGTAGTGACAGGACAAGGGGGAACGGGTTTAAATTGAAAGTGGGGAGGTTTAGATTAGACATCAGGAAAAAGTTCTTCGCGGAGAGGGTGGTGAGGCACTGGAACAGGTTGCCCAGAGAAGCTGTGGATGGCCCATTCCTGGAAGTGTTCAAGGCCAGGCTGGATGAGGCTTGGAGCAACCTGGTCTAGTGGAAGGTGTCCCTGCCCATGGCAGGGGGGTTGGAACTGGATGGTCTTTAAGGTCCCTTCCAACCCAAACCATTCTATGATTCTATGATCAGCCATCATCACTAGTATATTCATGAAACAGGACTGGATGCAGGATACAATTTTAGCATTCTCTCAGGCTTCAGAATTAAGAATCACATAGGAGAGTGCTTCTGAGCACAAAAATCCTTAACTTAAAATGTGTAACGTATGCCACCACACACTGCCAGTGCAGGCTAAGCGTAGTTTCTGCTAACAGGACTGTAAGGATTGTCCTTTGGGGATGACAGGAGAAGCAGCTACTTAGCGGTGGCTTCACTCTGCTGCGCTGGGCATGTTTGCTGTACTGGTGCTCCTCTGCCCTCTCCAGTAACTGGCTGGCTCCCTACACCTAACCATTCGTGGGCAAGCACCAGCACAGAATGGAGCAGAGCCTCAAGCTACCTCATCTGGGATATTTCTGGCATCTGATATTTGGTATTTACTGTACTGTAATAAGTTTGCAAACATGACAGCAGCCATTCACTGTCACTCCCTAAAACAGGAGGTAAGTTAGTCAGGGAAGGCTGAGCAGGTCTGTGTAATAAAACCAGGCCTCTCACTTCACACTGTTGTGTCACTGCATGCAGGTATCACCCAGAGGATTCTCATTTTTACAAGCAGCAGTTAGTAGCCAGATACAAACAGCAACGCTCATGACAAATTCTAAGCTTTACTCACTGAGAGGGCCTGCAACTGTACCTTTCCCTGGCAGCCAGACACACCGGGCAGCACTTGTGGCCTCGTGGGTTCCCAGCCAAGGCCTTTCCTCAGAGTTTCAAAAATTTTCTCAAAAACCCAACTCAGTTTAATTCTTCTCAAGGAAGTATCAACAAAACAAACAGCCTGTTCTCTGTACATCAGCTGCTGCTGTTTCCTTTGAAGAATTTTGCGTTTGAATAAAGAAGAGAAAGTGCACAGCACTTCACTAAGGAATCTGATTAGACAGTTATCCAAACACAGAGATAGATAATTTTTTCCCTCCCCAACAGTAACAATCTACTTAGTCAACAAACCAGTGTAAGTTAAAAGCATGAAGTGCAGATATCCATGTTAGGAACATACTCTTCTGTGGAGGAAGTCTCCAGAACAAACAGAAATACCTGCCTCTTCAGCAGCCAGTGAAGACAGGAGGAACACAGATACGCACTAAGAAACAGAAGCATTTCCCGTTACACTGATTCTCCCCCTAGATACAAGTTACAACGCAGGAACTGAGACAGCTCGCCTGTCACTTTGCTGTGTTTCCACACATTAGCCTGTATGAAAAACACACACAGGAAAACAGGAAATGGGCTCTGCATTCCTCAGCCTCTCATTCTCCTTTTACAGTGACTTAAAACTGAAGACAAGAAATCTTACACCTAGGGTAGAAATTACTGTGCTGGATATTCATTTGATTACCTCAAGGTTTCCAGAAAAGCTGACATCCTATTAACCCTTCCTGAACTTCCCTGCCAACACAAAGACAAGTAGGGAAGATGATGCTCAGAGAAACTTGTGCATCAATCAGCGTACACATAATTCAGGTCTCCATGTCAGGTCATTCTGATCTGGGAAATTCATATTTCATCTAAATTACTGCTCTCATAGGAGCTAGAAAATTTCTTCAACTCGGTAAGAAAGGTGGGTTGGGTTGGTTTTTTCCTTGGTTAAACGGTAACGCAATTTGACTTCTGGAAAAACTAAATGCTCTGTTCTCCCCTTCAAAATGTAACTGTGACAGAGTTCCTTCTTTCTGCCCAGGAGCGACCGAAGCGCAGAGAGAAGCTCACCGGTACCAGCGCTGTCAGAAGGGCACGTTAGGGACAGGTGTCTGAGATGTCTTGCCTCGACGCTGGAGTGGAAGAAACAACAGGGCATGAATCATGCCCTTGCCTGCTGGTTCTAAGTCTTGCCTAAACCCAGACCCCAGATCTAAGCACAGTGCTGACAAGAACTGTGTCACCGATTGTCATACGGACAGACTCTGCCTCAGCACTTCAACACAAAGGAAGCAGCGGTCCCTGAAGGCACGCTGGTGAAGCTGGCTGGCTCCATGGTAGCTGAGCCCTTGGATTTATCCATCACAAGCTAGCTGGCTGGAGGGCATGTTCCATAAAATTCACTACCAGCACAGCTACAGGCCAGATGGTAATTCTTCTCGTTCTGAGGACGAGGATGAAGCGGATACAAGAAGGCAGCAGAAGAGCTTTCTTTCAAGATTCAGCACCATGTGCAAAAGCTGCTGTCTGCACAAGAGGTAATAGTCCGATGTGCTTTGGGGAAGTGACCCTACATTTTTGTGTAATCATGATTTCTGATTATAGTCTTAAAAGAAGTTGCTGAAAATCTTGAGTCACGGATTTTTCCAAACCTCAGTGAAGTCTCTCTGCATAAGGACCAGTGAGCATTAAGAATATTTTGGTTTTATTTCATCTTGTTACCAGACTTTTTGGACAATGTCAAAAAAAAAAAATCACTAAACTTTTCCAACCATACTGAGAAAAATTAAAACACTGTTACACTGAAACACAGAGATACACCACAGTATAATTTTGAAAGCAAAATCCTCAAAGCTACTGCAGAGACAAAATTTTCATGTTTTACTGTTTAAAATACAGAAAGACTTTTGCCTTAAGCCCAAGCCCTCGAGTCTGCCATCCGTACTGCACTTTATGCAGAGAATTTGAGAGGGAAGCTTTCAGGGAAAAAGGCCTAAGCAAGGGGCACAGCAAAGATATCACCTGCCTACGCTTCCTGCAGAGACAAAAGACACTGAGAAAGACAGTTTGCCATAAACAGGTTTTACAAATTACAGTATTTTATTGTATATATACAAGAAGAATAAATTTATGAGTGTTATACTTCAGAATTTATGATGATACTCAAATATTGCAGATACTTTACAGAGTACCTAAGACTTACTTAAGTAAACATTAATTTACAAAGAAACTAATACTTACATAGCTGTGACTCTTAAGGAAATCTGAAGGGTTGCTTGTGCAGACTTTGTCCCCTTCCAAGCCAATTACTCTTTTACAGATATTTGACTTGGGGTCATTTGGGCTTTTCACAATTACAATATCTCCTCTGAGAGGAAAAAACAGAAACAAAAACAAACAGAAGAACTCTAAGTACAAGCCATTTGGCTGAATACATGTGCATCAATGTACACTCCAAAAACAGTGATGTACATGAAAGACCCTTGCTTCTGCTGAAGAAAATCTTGTCTGCAATTTTGGTTTCTTCAGTTCTACCCAGGGTGTAATTTTACAAACAGCTTTTTAAAGTGCATTTGGAGAGATTTTGTCATTCAGACCATTTATAAAATATTTAAGACTGCACGTTAATTGACAATGCTGTGATGAAATGCATGCCATTTAACCTCATGCTCTCGCTACATTTACATGGAACAGAACAGATTGTGTTCCTAAATGTTACTGTCCAAGTGTTATTCTCCCAGTGAAACTTAAAATGCCTAATCTGAGTGCGTAAGACCTTATATTCCTTTTGCCTTCTAATTATACCCATTAGACTGCAGTGGAACAGCCCGTTAGAGATTGGGTGAGGTCCTTGAGCCTACTGTGCTCTACAACACAGCAAGGAAGTGGCATCAGATAAATGGTGCTTACGCCATTTGGTCCCTTCCCTGACGACCACACAGCCACACCTACAGCTTGGTTTTCGAGTACAACTAAAGCACACAGAGAGAAGTGACACTCACCCAACAGAACTGTTTTAGGGGAAAAAAGAAAAAGGGAGTTTTTCCATTTTTTGTACAAAGCTGTAAAAGTGACAAAGACTATATCCTAAAGGAATTCTGACAAGCTGTTCCATGGGCTGTATCTGCTGATTTACTTTAACTTCCAAAAGGTGCAATGGGAGGAGATTTGGAAAAATTACAGTTTAGAAGCAGGCGGATATATGAAAAAGAGAGGACAGATAGAATGTGGTTACTGACAAGCTCTGGCAAAGGAAGGTGAAATCTGGTCTCAACAGAGGAGCATACTTTCGAATGCAGTAAAAGTGGCGGCTAAGGTTCTCCGAAAAGACAATATCAGAATTCTGAATGGTTGGTTCCATTGAAGGTCCAGAACACTGCAAATTAAAAAAAAAATTGAGAAACAAATTACTTCCAGTTACTTTATCTAAAATACATTAATATTCAAATTATTTGCTAATAAGGTAGAAAAGGTGTAATGAAAGAACAGTTTAAAAAGTGAGATCCTTCAAGAAACATCTGATCCATTGAAAAGGTGAGGACAGGCTCCAGAGCACCTCTGACCCCGTCACGGCTCTGTATTCGCTCAGGATTGGCCCTGAACTGTGCCAGGCGCTACCAGCCCCTACAGATTTATTTCCATACCTCATCTGAGGGAAATTATTGGGAGCAGCACTCAGAGCTCTGCCAGCTTATCCCTTTCTTCAGGCTCTGTACCAGTGAAGCCGGAAGAGCAGGTCACAGCCAAAACACACTTTGTCCAGCAGCACTATCCGCTAGGTTCAGAACCTGGGCAGGAGGGGGAGGCAGCACAAAGCATCCAGAAGTCTGCCCACACTGGAGAACAAGAGCCTCTCCTATGGCATTATTAGCGACTGCAGTCTTTCTGGAAGAATGTACGCTCTTCAAAACACTTAACCATAGTTTATTTATTTCGGTGCTGCCTCGAGTGGCAACTTAACAAAAAGTACAAATGCCTTGAGCAGAAAACACCTTTCATAAAGGCTGGACCTACGTCAAAAAAAAAATATCGATTCACCAAACACTCTGGAAAAACTTTAAAACAAAAAGAAACCTGAAGTACTGGCATTATCACATACAATTTCAGTAGTATAGTTTTATTTTCTTTTAAATGTCATAAAAATGAAAAGTTACCACAACGATCCCTCCAAGGTACTCAAAGGCGCAGTGCGCTACGCAGCCATATTGCACAGTATACCCCAGAAATCGAAAGGTCTTTCCTAGGCCATTGCGGAGCATGGTACAGTGTTATGTCCTTCAGCCAGATCTAGTCTACAGTAAGACAAAAGAGTATCGTTCATTTGATCACAGACAACCCAACATTTACATCTTTTGTATTTACCAACTGATGGACAATGTTTTTTTTTTAAAAACAGTGAATAAAAACAACAAATTGCCAGATACAGCTGAGATTAATATAGTTCAAACTCAAATAGCATCAAGTTTTTAATTAAGTTTACTATGCAGACACTTCCCCTTGTACAGTCAATTGATCCCACTCACCAGCTTATTAGCGAGGTTCAGTTGAACAGGAACTGAAGCAAAAACCTTTTGCCAAACCAGAGAAATTAAAGGGAAAGAATGGTGTCAGTGTTCTCAGTTCAACAAGGCCAAGTGCAA